CCAAACAAATTTTTCTGTATGAAAACACATCATGAATATTATTAGCTGTGAAAACGGTAGCAATGAAACAAACCATCAATCTCATAAGTCAAAGCTCACAAAAATCAGCCTTATAATACACACAAGCTACAGTGGTCAAGTTCATAAGAAATTCAAATCACTTTGAAACCGTGGATGGGTGAGGAGAGGGAATTTAATTTATATTAAAATAAAAGGCTTCACAATTATATATATATATATATATATATATGCTTATGTCGGTGTGTGTTACAAATTAATAGATCTAGGAGTCTTTACCTGACAAAAAGAAAAGACAAAATAAATGCGTATCTAACAAATCAAATGATTTAATAATTTTTTTAAAATAGTCCAGCACTTAGAGTCTACTGGCCCCTCCTTTTCAGGACTTGCTTAGAATTATCAAGATTTAGATTTTAATTTGGTTAAATATTAAATTTGATCCCTCAACTTTAGTAAGTTACACATTTTTGGTCCCTCAATAATTTTTTACACTTTTTTGATCTCTCAACTTTAAGAAATGCACAACGTTTGTCCTTCTGTCAATTTGAGCCGTTAACTCGGCCACGTGGCATTTTTTTTTTTGATGACATGGCAAGGACAACTTTAAAAAGTTCTAATATGGATTTTTTTTTAATGACATGGCAACGACAACTTTAAAAAGTGCTGATATGGATTTTTTTTTATGACATGTCATCTTCTTCCTGCACCAAAGACCCTTCAATGGCTTTTACGTTGCTTGCAAACCACCAATAAGATCTGTGAACCCTAAAATGGTCTCTCACCTTCACTTTCTGCAAAATCAATCTCTCTCTGCAAAATCAATCTAACTCGAGTTGGGTTGCCTCTACTGCTAGTGGGGTGAGTCCTTACAAAATAATATGTCTATGAACCAAAGGAATTCTCTGTCATTGAACCCAGCTACTGGGTTTCATCGAAGCCTCAAACCTAGCAGATGTTATCAAATCAAATTAACCTTTCAATAAACAATATCAATCAAACTCTAATCAAATTTCAACAAAAATACAATCAAACTCTAATCAAATTTCAAGGAAAATGCAATCAAATTGTTAATCAACGATCCGAGAACAATTAGTCGATCTAGATTTGCAAGTGATTATAGATTCTTCATGGGTAGAATGGAAAGAATTAGGAGATGAAGGGCTCACGGGGTAATGAATGGGAAGATCGAAAAATTGGAAGAAGAAGGTAATCAACCGAAACCCAGCTTTTGCTGGGTTTCAACTGAACCCAGTAGCTGGGTTCGTCGAAACCCAGCAACTGGGTTTGTCGAAACCCAGCAGCTGGGTTTCATCTGCTGGGTTCCGATGAACCCAGCTTTCCACCGACCTAGGGTGGGAAAGAAAGAAAGAGAAAGAAAGAAGGGGAAAAAGAGGGATTGGAAGGGTGAGGAAGGCTGGGTTTCGTTTGCTGGGTTTCGTTTGCTGGGTTCATCTTTGCACCGACCCAGGGTAGGAAAGAAAGAAAGAGAAAGAAAGAAGGAAGGGGAAGAAGAGGGTTTGGGAGGGTGAGGGTAATAAGGTAATTATATTTGTTTTTAATTAAAATATAAATATTAATATATGTGGCATTTTTATTTATTTATATAATATAATTATAATATATATTATTGCCACATCATCAAAAAAATTAAAAGATAATGCCACATGAAATTATTTAACTGCCACATCACACTTAACTGACGGAAGGATCAAAACTGTG